AAAAAAGGTATAAAGGTTATTAAGTGATAGGCGAATAGCACACAACAATTAACTTACATCAAACTGTTTATCCAAATTGGAACGCCCAGACGAATCCAACTCCCGTAAATGATGCAAATAGTCACGGAAGTGGGCCACCCGAATCGTATGGCACGGGTATAAAACATACTCGCGAAGTGCGTCATGGATAAATGCATATTGTTGCTGTCATTGACAATTGAAAAAAAAACGGAAAATGATACAAGTGGAAGGAAGAAACAAATGCATAGCAGGGTTACCGTAACACCAAAGAGAATTCATTTTTGTGCACGGCTCACAACAAACGAAGCACTGAAAGGAAGCAGTATCTGTAAACCAGACTTGCGGCGGCGTTTGAAAGATTACATTCTTGTATGTGGGTCTAGCCTGAAAACCTCAAATATGGAATCGGATTAACCGAACCCCATTTGAACGGAGAAATTCAATCCCACAAAGCCACCAAGAAAGGAGACTAAAAAAATCAATCAAGCATGTGACTATCGATTCACCAATAATCTTACTGGGCCCTAGATACGACTGTTTCTTTTAAATGACTTAGAAAGTTACTTAGAACCGAAAAGGATAGCGAGGGACAGTGTAATAATGGTGGACTTTTGAAAATATTTCAACGGCACTTGCACCAAAACGTACAATATAGGTCTTGCTCTGCGTCCTTTGTGTGATAGTTCCTTGGTAGGAATCACTTGGACAAATCTCATGTATTTAAACACGTTTTTGTTCGAGTGTCGGAATGGGACTTGTGTTGGCATATGGAAAATTCGGGTTTACTCAAATTGAAATTTTTATTATGGGCAAATCACAAGGTTGATGTTTATTTAATCCTATAGGGTCTGTACACAATGGGTTCGGTTGGTAGTACCACTGAATAGCAAATTCTAACGTTCACTGACGGGTACTGAATAGTTAGGTGGTTCAATGCTTCATCCAGTCGTGACTTGAATTAATCGATGGTCGGTGCACAAAAAACGTGAGGTAGAAGAGAGTTCCAGGTGTTTCAAACTTTGACGCTGGAAGAATGACGCCTGCAGTCGAGCCGACTCTTTTGGAGAAGAAGTCTAAACGGATGTCCTCGGAAGTGACCATTCCTGGATAGCGTTAGTAGAGTACTGCACGGGTGGTTAGGTTGATGTAGTATTTGGTACACGAGGATTATGCCTCTCCGTATTTGACGGTATTCAGACGAATGGTGTCCGAGAATTCGCAGCCTTTCACCGTAGGTTTTAGATTGTAACCCTTAGGCCATTTTGGTTGCTGTTCTCTACAGACGTTTGAGGGCCTTTTGGTCGCGAATCGGCCATGGATTCCAAGTCTGCATGGTATACTCTGTGTGTGGTCTAATGTATGCTGATAATAAACGGGGCAATAGGTCTGTTTCGAATATCCAAAAACACGTTTTAACTTTTGAAGACGCTCTTGCGCAATGTGTGGAACATCCTAGATCCTCACGAATGATAACTCCCGGGTCCTTTTCGTTTGGAGAACGCGGCAATGGCTAAGTATGGAAAGCGACCCCTGTGGCGCAGCGATACAATCTTGCATTTCTCAGCGTCGAATTCGATGTCATTAATGATAGACCATCGATAAGCTACGTCAAGAGTTTCCTGTAAGGTTTCACAATCTTCAGGATATTTTACCGTTCTCCATGTTTTGGCGTCATCAACCAATAACAATGCCTTTTCTCCCAGGACATCTAATACGTAGTTTATGAATGCTAGGGCATGTACGGACCGAGTGTGGATCCTTATGGAACTCCACGGACAGCCTCAAACGGTCCCGACAAAACGATTAACTCGAACCGGAACGGTACGTTGTCGAAAAAAAATCCTCAATCCAGTCAAGTAGCAGTCATCGGACACCGTCATTATGGAGCTTTCACAGCATTATATGGTGGTTAACCCTGTTAAAAGCTTTGGAGAAGTCTAAGCAGACTACTTCTACTGCCTCTCCTGGGTCGACTGATTTTGTCTATTCATCTCGTGCAAGTAGCAGGTTTGCGGTGCACGAGCGTTTCCTTCGAAACCCGTGTTGGGCCGGTGAAAGTATGTTATGCTTCTTGAAATGATCAGTCGGGGAATCAGCAACAATCGATCACAATGCTTTTGACAGAACTGGACGGTAGTTCGCAAGATCACTTCCACAGCCACCTTTGTAAATAGGCGAAATGATGCCGTTTTTTCAGAGTGGAGGGATCTTTGTCTTATCGAATAAATGGTATAAATGGGCAATTATTTCAGATATGTAATTTGCCAAGGACATCAGGGTCTGTAGTCGGATGCTGTCTTCCCCTGGAGATGAATTCCGGCGCAGCGCCAATAGTTTGTTTTCAACCGTTTCAGATTTGAACGTGACGGTGGTCGGTTGGGTGTATGGGACACTTGACAGAAGGTTTGGAAGCTGTAATCCGCCTTCGTTACCTGCAGTGAACATTTCGTAGAACTGGACTTTTAGGAATTCGGTTGCTTCAGCAGTAGTAGTGGAAACGCGTCTTGTATGTCTTAGTGCTGGTATTGCATATTTCACTTTTCTGATAGCATTGATATGCTTACACAGTACCTTTGGATTGAAAATAAATTTATGTGCCAGAGTTTCTTGAAACCTTCGTTTATCCCCTCGCACTAATTTCACACTAAGGTTTCTCAATATGATATAATTATCCCAAGTGTCGGCGGTCGGACATCTTCTGAACTCTCGCCAGGAGAAATTCCTCTGTGACATCCATTTCTTGATTCGACTACGGATAGGTGATAATCGTGTAGACAACGTACCGTTATGAAGTCTGTTAGTGTTCCAATGAATTTTTCCAGGGCTCCAGTGGATCTAGCTGCTCTTCTGGTTGTGTCCATTGGTTGACAGTAGCAAGGTTCAGCAATTCATTGTAGTCGACAACGGTGCTTGTGTTGGTTTTCAGGCATATTTCTATTGAGGCGTGGTAAATGTAATCGAAAAGCAGAACTGCATGGTCGCTTCGTCCTAATGGAGACGTTATTTCGACCGATTCGACCATAAGCTCCTTGCTTGTCAATACCAAGTCCAATGTTGACGGTTGGTGACCTGTTCAAAATCTGGTGGGATCCTTCACGTGATTATACATCGGGTGTGAATCTATAAACTGTGATAAGTTTCGCTCGAAAGGGTGGAGACAGTTCTGGCTTTTTATAAAATTGGGACAATTGAAGTCTCACATTATGAGAACATAAGTGAACTTTACTAAGAAAATATCTCTCATAGTCGCAAGAGTACCTCGTTAGCTAAGTCTGAGGATGCAGGAGGGCGCCAGACTGTGTACCGAACAAATCATGGTACAATAATCCTTATAAAAAGAAAAACGTTCCATAAATGGCTTGCGGACTGAATGCTGCCAGATTGCCCAGGCCAAGGCAGGTGAATTTTCTTGTGGAATCCACACCCGGAGCCT